ATTGAAATTCCTTGTACAAGCATTGAACACTAATAGTTACCTTTGGGAATTGATAGTTCTAGTACATAAAGAGTATTTAATTGGTACTGTTGTTGTTAAAAATAGAGTATCGAGTAATACTATTTGTTTGGATATTTGTTCTGATTGTCCTATTAATGTTATGTTAGATACTTGTAACAATTTGTTAAATTATTGTAAATTTCTAGAATTAAAAAAAGGAGATGCTGATCAAACAACATTAATAGATATTTCAAATTATTCTGAAAATAAGATTTATAAGTTAAAGTATTGTTTAATATCATTTTTAACGAATTTGTTATCATCTTATATGTTTGTATCTAAAGTTATGTATTGCACATCCGATATGACATTAAAAAATGGATTCACTGAAATGATAAAAAATACTTTGTGGTTTATTCAAAATCAAAACTGTATTTCATCTAAAAACTTTACACCAATTAAATATTACACTATATTAGACAAAATAAACGCATTACTACCTCTAGATATATTTGTAGATGCTATAAATTACATCTTAAAGTTTGTAAATTTGAAATCTATACAACATCGAACTATGGATTTACTAAACAAACGTTTACTAGAAACTAAATCATTATCTCAACAGCAATCTTTAAAATTACTAGAGCCTCTATCAATGATAGTGAATATGTCTTGTTTCACTGTGCGAGATGATTTCATTGTTAAACAAACTGCTCTTATATCCATCACCTTGATTACTAAGTGTTCTGATGTCAATGATAATTTAGAAATATTTCAAGGAATTCTTCAAAAAGTCACTAAATCTGTCCAGGATACTAGTGTAGGACCTTTACTTGGGACTTATGTTTTATGTATTGCTGAACTAGTATCAAGCCTTAAAACTAAAGCAATAACATGCTTTTCATTAATTATCCCAACAGTTATTTCTGTTCTTCATAAACTAAATGAACACTGTATCATGGCTGATGGAGCATTATTGCCAAGTATTTTATCAGGTTTATTAAGAATAATATCAGAACTAAAAAATTTTTTAAGCCCTTACATTGTTAAATTAATGTATGAGTTAGCATTATTATCGGGAACTTGCAACAACAATTCTTCAATTGGAAATGAGAATTACAAATCAATCATAAGAACTAAATTTCAATTGTTAGGTGAAAAAATATCTGAGATACCTAACAGAGTTTTAGAACCAGCATTGAACAACACTTTAATAGATATAGTTAAGTACCAACAATTTTCTGCATTTCAATATTTATTAAATATAGCAAAAAATAGTTTTAATAATACTATGACTGAAGAGTTTACAGTGTTCTTATTGAAATCTTTAGAATTTTGCTGCGTTACAAATGACAACACAAAAGAAAATATCATATTAGTTGAGAGTTCTGTTATAACTACTATAACTGAGATTGCATTGAAATGTTCTGAATCAACATTCCGTACATTTTATCATAAGTTATACGAATGGAAAAACAACTTAAATAATGATAAATGTGTAATGATTTATTTCCGTTTATTAAATGCTTTATCTAGTGAACTTAAAGGACTATTTCTATTATTTGCTGGTAATATTATACCCACTGCTAATTCAATTCTAACTAAATCTGATTTATTTGATGGAAAAAATTTACTCATTAAGTATATTGTGTCAACATTATCAAATGTATTTAAATATGATACTGTTAATTTTGTAACTAAAGAACGATTTGAAATGATAATGAATCCATTGGTTGATCTTTTAGAATCTACAAACTTAGACAATCACAGTGATATTTGTTTAAACCACGTGATACCATGTATATCAAATTTAATAGCTGCTGTGACAGATGATACTTTATGGAAGGAAATAAATTGTCAAATTTTGCTTAAAGCTAGGCATAGATTACCTGAAGTTAGGTCTTTGTGTATTGATGCTACCTTGGTTATAGCAGAAAGGCTTAGAGAAAACTTTTTACCTTTATTGCCAGACTCTATACCATTTTTGGCAGAATTAATGGAAGATGAACAGGAAGAAATTGAACAAAAAACACGAAAGGCTATTCAACAAATGGAAAAGTATGTTAATGAACCTATTGAAAGTTATTTTTGTTGAAAATATTTGTTAACTTATTACTTTTTTTAAGGTAATTAATTTATAAGATTTTAAATTTTAAGAAAGTATATAATTATAAAAGTATCTATATTGTCTCCACTTGATACAATAATGTATGTATAAATAATTATTTTTTATATACTATGATTATTAATGTAATATAAAAATAACAACTTGATAATTATAATAATATAAAATAATGATTTTCTTTTACAGTAGTAAATTGTCAAATAAATTTACTGATATACTAATCCCTAAACTTTATAATCAACAGTTTTTATACAGGATCAATACTGAAAATTAGAATTTATCACTTAATGAGTTAATTAAATAATTAACTAACTATAGTTAATTGGTATAATGAATCCTTGATGTCTGGACCCCAAAGACCCCTGTAGATATATCATTCATAGTATAAACACAGTTATCTGTTACTAAATAATTTACTATTTATTATTATAAAACATTGCTCAATAAAAGTTAAATATTCGAATCACTACAAATTATAAGTAATTTTTATATTTAATGTCCATTAAGTTGACGTAATGTTAATTCTTCAAGACTCTTAATATTATTTCTTATATGACCTATATGTATTATTCAAACTGAAATTATTACCTTACGTAATTTTCGTTTCAAAATTAAGTATTAAAAAGTTTAAACTTTATAAAAATTGAATTTTTTTGGTTGGGTATAATATATTTTTATTAATCAATGTTAAGTAATCACATAGTTTAGTTTTGCAACACAATTTTTAGCATAGAGTTAAAAGAAAAAAACGGTAGCACAGTGTGAGCGTGGCATACTTGGGACTAGTGTAGATGATATCTGACAGTGATAAAATCAATATCATAAAAAACGCTTCGATGGATATCTATAGGTTTAATTTTAAGAAATTGGTGGATTATTCAAAAGCAAAATTGTAACTCAAAAAGAATTAAGAAAAAATTGCAAAAAAATCAATGCCACAGGCAATGATTTTTACTGAATCTCCAAACGTTCGTTACATTTGTTTTTGATAAAATTGGCAATTAAACTGATTCAAATGTTAAAATTAATTTTTTGGATTCAAAAGAAAAAAAAATGAGATATTTTAACTTTATATTCTATGTCAATTAGTTTTATATAATATTCATAAAAATCAGTGTATCCCATTATAAGGTATATTAAAATACAATACCAAGAATTTTAACACAAAAATAGCACATTTTTGAATATGATAACCATGTTCACTATACCTCGAAATTTTTTTTTTCATAGAATAATATATTACATAAGCTTTAATTTAAGATTAAATAAAAGTGTCAATATTTTCGGAAATTTTCAAATATTGAGTTGAAAAAATTTAATTTGTGTGTACAAATTGTTATTTTGAATCCCTCCAGTGGTCAGATCAAGTCAGATTTTCAAAAAAATACATCAAATGAAAGAAGTAAACATAAAATATTTATGAAAAAATAATTGTTATGATGCATACATTTTTCAAATAGTTATAGTAATTTAAAGTTGAAAAAATAAAATATGAAATCGTAAATTTTAACACCAAAATTGTATGTTTTTTTATCTATGGCAACCATTTTCACATAGAAGATAAGTCGTCAGGACAAATTTTATTTTTTGAAGTTATTGTACATAACATTAGCTTTATTTTAGTATATGTTTGAAACTTGGAGTATTTCCGGAACATTTCCAAAACTTAAGTTGAAAAATTTTAATTTTTGTGTAGAAGTTGCAATTTTAAATCCCCTCCTGTGAGCAGATAAAGGGTCATATTATCAAAAAATGTATATCAAATAAAAGAGAAATATCTATAGATTTAATATAAAAAAAAATATTAGGATTCGTTCATTTTTCAATAAGTTATGGCAATTTTTAGTAAAAAAAGTTTTAAAAATGTCGAAATTTACAGATTTTAAAAATCGTAATTTTTTGGAAGATTTTCACTATTTACAGGGAATGAGGGCAAAGTTTTCACTTTTTTTGGGTAATGTCTTCAACTAGAACGATTTGTGATCTTTTGACGTATCGTTGAGAAAAATCGTTCCAGTGAGAGTTGAAAAAAAGTAATGACACGCACAAAAATAAAAAAAAAATAAACACATCATGGTAAAATTAATACCTTCTCAGCTTCACATCAAAGCTTAAATTTGATTTTGGATAAAAGTCCAACATAGCTTTAAAAGTATACATTTTATAAAATGAATAAAAAAATGTATTCAAATTTTACAAATTTGAATGAATATTTAATCATTTTTACTCTTTTTGTTTTGTAAATGACTTTGTTGTAGAGTAGGATTATTAATTATTACATATCAAACGCCGCTCACATTAAATATATATTGTTTGGTATTGTTTAATTAATTGCTCTTTTGGTGGTTGGTAAGAGCTGTAATTTGTGTAACTAGTTAAATTTATTTCGACATAATATTCACTTAATAGGTGAAAAAAAACATAAATATAAGTTGTTTTATTGTAGTATTCAATATAAATAATATAAAGTTATCTTTATATGTTTCGATTTGAACCGAACTAGACTACAGTACGTTTCGGTCTGGTCTTTTATTTAAAATAAAAATTCGATCCCAAATTTTATTTTAATTCAATATATATATTTAACTATTTAATGGGAATTAATGAAATATTTAATATTTCCCACTCTCCTAAAATATATTTTAATAACAATAAATAAACTTTCCTAATTCTTTTTAGGATAGCCTTATTAAACCCCGAATCCAATTACGACAAATTAATCTTTTTGACTCCGTGTTTATAATATATATTATAATATATCTATATTATAGATTTAAAATATTGTGAAATAATATAACAATTCATAGATAGCGCTTCATTATTCTTTGTTGAAAAAGTTGATTAGAATATGTTTAATACCTTTATCAAAAAAACTTTGAGATTAGAGAACCTCCGACTTAGTTATTTAACAAACTCAAAGAAATAACTCTAAGTGATGTTATTAATCTAGTTAATGAATGCATATTTAAATATATTACGTTGTATATGGTATCTTGTTAACTTCGAGTTCTTAATTCGAAACTAATTAATTAGATTCACTAGGTAACCTATTTAATTATAAAATTAAATATGATAAAATTATACTCTTTAAAGCAACATAAAAAAGATGGAGAATCTCCAAAATCGGGTAGCCAAAAAAAAGCTTCTGCTGCTCATCTGAGAATTACTAAAGGTAAATTTTACTGGACTATTTGTTTTTTGCATTTCATAGTAGAATTTCCTATTTTATAGAATTAATTTTGTTATTTAAAAAATTTGTACAAATTAAATTAAAGTAATAGTTAACTATATTATTGTATTACAAATGTTCTCGTATCCTGTAAATTAGAAAATATTTCAGATCTTTATATTTTTATTTTATGTAAACATTTATTTATTTCATATAATTAATTTTTGTTTTTAAATAAGTCTATTATATGAAATCGTTTTTTATTCGTTATAACCATTTATCTGGTTTTCAAGAGAAAATTATTTTACCTGAATATCTTAAATAATTTCATTATACTAGGATTTTATCATTTTAAGCTAGATATAAAGAAACTCTAAATAAATGATAGAGTTCCTCTAGTCTACCTCTTTGTACAATCAAACGCAATATTTTTGATATACACTTCCAGATTTATATATTAATATATAATTTTAGATTTGAATGAACTTACTTTACCAAAAACATGTACAACGGAATTTCCTGATCCAGATGATTTATTGAATTTTAAGTTGACTATTTGTCCAGATGAGGTAATATGACGATAAAAGTATTTTATTTACAATAGTAATATGATATTATCACATAAGGGATCATATAAAGGTGGAAAATTCAACTTCAGTTTTAAAGTCGGTGTAAATTATCCACACGAACCTCCTAAAGTAAAATGTGAAACTACAGTTTATCACCCTAATATAGATCTCGATGGCAATGTGTGTCTTAATATACTTCGTGAAGATTGGAAACCAGTATTGACTATTAATAGTGTGATTTATGGCTTGCAATACTTGTTTCTGGTAATTACTTTACTTTAGATTTTTAATTCCAAAACGTATAAGTGTCTTTAATTATACGTGGTTTTAGGAACCTAATCCAGAAGATCCACTAAATAAAGAAGCTGCTGATGTTTTACAAAATAATAAAAGACTATTTGATATGAATGTTCAGAAAGCAATGCGTGGTGGGGTAATAGGCAATACTTATTTTGAAAAATGTTTAAAATAACAGTCTACAAAGAAAATTAAGTTCATGCTCAAACAATGTGGCAGTTATGTTTTTGCAAATAGAAATTTGATTGATTCGTACAAATGTTGTGGTGTGAAATATAAAATTATATTAAATACATCATTTTAATTTTGCTCTATTTTTTAAATTAATTAAATAATTTTAACTTATAATAATTTGTACACCATTATTTTAGTACATTAATGTTATATTCAAACCATGTTTTGACTCATAAGATGGTATAAATATAAAAAATTTACATTCAACACTACATTATTTGAAAATTAAATAACAACAGGTTGTTAAATTTATTTGTTTTTTTTTTTTTTTATATGGATGGACATACAATAATAATAATATAATAATAATAATAATGAATAGTTAACGCAAAGATTAATTGTCAAAAAATGCAATAAATCCAATTATCGTCCAAAAGCGAATGGTGAGTTGGTACTATCGCTAAAATTGAATGTAGATGGAACTGTTGCCTGATCAAATTTAAAACCTGTGAACAATAACACTTCTTTGTATTAAATATAATTAACTTTGATAAAATATAATAAAATAAGGAACTTTGTTTGCTGAATGACAGATCAGTCAATATCAAAATGACAAATCCTGATTTTCAGTGAGCTACTGGAGTATATGCAAGATAAAGAAACAATAATGACCTTTAATAGTTTATATAAGTAAGAAAAAAATTTAACATACTTTAATTTATTCATATGACTCATATGAGTATTAAATAGTTCATAGCTTAAATAAAACAATTATAAATATCTTAGCCTTCAAAGAATGATTTCAGTTAAAACATCAAATTTATTACAATAAAATTTATTGTAATAAATTCAATTTTTCTTTTTTTTTTACTCTATGTTTTATAAAAGGTAAACTAAAAAAAGTAAGAAATAAAAGACTATCTTAATTTTTTTTCTACACCCTTTTTATTTTATCAATAAATTTGGTATTATTAATTTATTTAAAATAGACAATATTTATATGAATTATTAAGTCATTATTAATAAAAATTATCTTTAAGTATAAAATTTAAAATTCATATAAAGGCTCTTTTTTTGTATAATAAAACATGAGCAGAGAATTTATCTTGTTTTTATATGCACGATCAGTGTTTTAGGTATAATTGATATGTGTGATGATATAATACGTTTCAGCAAGAATAATAAAATATTCAATATTTTCAAAAATTAAGAATTTGTTTTTGCTTATCAATTAAAGAAAAAGTAGAATCACCCTATATGGCCACCTTAATATCACTTATTATGTGCATACATATGTATGAAAATTTGTGACTATTTACAATAATGTATTACGGGTTATAGAGATTGGATTTTCTATGTATATACATAGAGCCCCACCAATTTATTACCTTTGACAGCATATCAAAAACCTGAGTCAATTATCTTTAAATAATCTTTTCATTTCCAACTACACTACAAGTATACCCACAAATTTAGAAAGAAGGGTAAAAAATACAAAAATATAAAATTATGCGATAAGAAAAATAATTTTGACATTTACTAATTTCCTTTGTTTGGTGACACAAACTATATTAATACATTAAATTAACTTCAATCAAAATATAAATAAACTTATTCCCCACATTTTAAAATTTATTTTTAAAACAATAAATATAATTTTTTGCAAATAAAGGGGATAGTAAAAGTAAAGTCCTTTAGGCATGACCTAGGAAAAACATCTGGAAACCACTGCAATTGAAAATTATCTTAATTTTTATAAAATAATTGGTTTTTTTTTTATATTATACACATTATTTAATATAATTAAAACTAATACTAACATTCAATTAGCCTAATGATTAATAGTCGGAATTTATAAGAATGAAAAAAAAAGAACTACTAAAATACCTGCAAGTTTTTCTTTCTTTTTATTTTCAACTTCAGTACGCCTTTGTTCAGCTAAAACCATAATTTCATTGATAGATTTTTGTTGCTCAACATTTAAATGATTAGTAAGCGCAAGATACCAAGCAGGGTCATTTTGTTGTATATTCAATAATACATTTTTAAATAAAATATAGACATCTAAATTTTCATCAGCATTATCTTCTTGATCTAGTGGTGTTGTAAAAACTTCTAGAATTGTTTCTTCAGGTTGTTCATAATCATCATCATCACTATCACTTTCATCTTCAGTTATTTCTGTAGCCTATAAGTATAAATTAATAATAACTAGAGTAAAATATTAGTATTGTGTAAGCAATAATATCACATATGTCCAAAAAACTTCTTAATTTAATAGTAATATATATAATTTTAAGAAAAAATCCAGACTATGAATTTTAATATTTTTATAAAAATTACTGTACATTTTTTTTAAATATAATTATCAAATTTATAAAATTAACCCAGTAAAAAATGTAATTAAATTTTCTTATGCCCTATTATAAAATAAGACTAATAAATTTGCATACAATGTTTCGTGAAAAATGGTCTTTATAAAAATACATAATATTGGTTTTTCAACAATAATATAATGAATGTACATACAGTTGTATTTAACAAAGAGTTGTTCATCTTGTCATTTGAATATTCAAGGGTTTCATCTATTTCATCTTCGTCAGAAGCCAATTCTAATAAATTAAAAATAGTTATAAATAATTAAAATAGTTAATAAAAAGATAAATGATATAGGAAACAAAAAGTTTTCAACCGAAACTGGACTCTTTAAATTATACTTTAAAGTGTTAATAACTTATAAAATACTAGTTGGGACATTTTATCTTTTATATAAATACAATAAATTTGTACATTTGGTGACCAAAATATTAATAAAATTGATTCACAAGATTAAAAACTTATTTAATAATTATATATTTTTTTAAATAATAGTTGGTAATTAACTAGAATGCACAGTTTAATTGAAGATAATGAATGATAATGGCAATGGTTTCTAATAATATATGAAAATTATACACAATTAACAAATCTAAACCAAAAATATTTTCATTTTATTTTAATGATGTAGTTTATAATACAATAACTAGAGCTTGTATATATACATGCGCTAAAACACATAAATAAAAATTCAAATAAAATTTGAGTTATGGACAAAAATTGTATTTTTTTAAACTTTGATGTCTGTTTTTACCATAAAAAACAAAATAAAGTTCGAATTTTTTTTTTCCATGATAAAGTATAATACATTAGCTTTAATTTAACATATATATAAAAGTGTCAGTATTTCCAGAACACTTTCAAAAGTTAATTTTTTGTGAAAAAGTTGTAATTTTGAATCCCCCCCGTGGGCAGGAAAAAGGGTCAAATTTATAAAAAAAAAAAATATAAAAAATGGTAGGTAAATACTTAATGTATATTTAAAAAAAAATTGTATTGATCCATACATTTTTCATAAAGTTATGGCAGTTTTAAATAAAAAATATCGAAAATTAGCAATTTTTAAATTTGTAATTTTTTTTTTGAGATTTCCCACACTTATGAGGAACGACGGAAATTTTTTTAATTATTGAGGGTAATATCAACGAGATACAATTTGTGATCTTTTGACGTGTTATGGAAAGAAATCGGTTTGGTGAGAGCTGAGAAATAGTGGTAACAGACACAAAAAAACACATCATATTAAAATTAATACCTTTTCAGTTTTGCACTGAAGCTAAAAGAAATCGATTTTTTTTTTGAAATAATAAGAAATATGCATCAATGTTTGGGTGGTAACGATTGTGTTATAACATTATTTTCATATTATTATTTATGTATCACACAATAATATCTGAGTAAAAATAAACTACATAATACTAAAAATGTATAAATATTTTCAAAAAGTAAAATCAAAAACTGTTAAATTAGACTATTATTTTTATACATAAAATAATGAATTTACTAATTTTATAGAATATATGTGTTAATAAACACAAATAGATCTATAATATACCAAATATGCTAATACACTCAAAATGTACAAAATTATGCAATACTAAACTGAATAGTGTTATTACTGCTGTACCAAACTGATTTGTACACAACTCAATCTAACCCAACCAAACCTCACTAAGCATATTTTCTCATATAGCAAGAAAACATACAAATATAAAGTATAAAATTATAAAAAATTTTTTTATTATTTAGAAAGAAAGGTTTAATTAAAAGTAAAATTAATTTTTAATACTATTGATTTTAATAAGAAACATCAAAATATTTATTTTAATTTAAATATGACAATAATTTACTTAGTTCTTACCATTTTCTGTATCTGTATCTTCATCTTCACTAGATTCTTCATCAGATGTTGTATCTTTACCTAATAAACAACAACTTAATATAATCGGATAAAATCTTAAAACATCTATGAAGGTTGTCTGTAAAATAAGATTTCCATAATGCTGCATTCGTGAGAAATACTTGTATGCTAGTCTACTGATCTGTGACACATATTTTGGTATCCCACCACAAAACCCAATTAAACCCACTCCAGCTAACTTGCAGTAATGCTCAGTGTTGGTTTAGAGTAAAGGTCCTACTAACTCTGATGGAAAGGTGAGAAATATTCTATAAGTTTTTTGTGTGCAAAAAAACACTGTGCCAGGTAACTTTTATTCTCAACTGTTGGGAAAGACAATAGGTGACGTTTTGAAAGCTCAGAGAGATGATCCCGGATCAAAACCTACATTGACAAAAATTTGGGAGATTATTTAGGGTATGTTGACACAGAGTGCCTGTTTTCATAATGAAAATACTCAACTATATAAATCTCATATCACAACAAATCTCATCAAGTAATTTGGTTGTGATATTGTCACACATCCATTCTACATTCTGACATAACCCCCAATGACTACCATTTCTTCCCTGAAATAGATAAACAAACTTGTGCGACAAAGTTCACAACTAATGAATAATTATTAGGCTATTTTCTCAGCATAGTGGGAGAGTTCTACAACTATGGCATAAAGAATATGATACATCCAATTCAAAACAAAACTGCATTAATTTCAACAGCAATTATGTAGATAAATAAGAAAAAATGAAGTTTTCCAGAGATTTAATATTTAATACAAATAACCATGTTATGGCATTAATGAAAAGCTAAGATAAAATTAATTTGACCATGTTGTGCTTGTATATATTTTTTTGTCTATTCTCATTATTTTTCAGCTCTAGCTGAACTGATTTTTTTCAATGAAAAAAATTGTCTTGACATCTATGTGCAAATGATAGCTACAGTAAAAAATATACTACTTTAGTGTTGAAATTTTCAATTTCATAATTTATTTTTTTGACTTCATAAAGATTAAAGTTTTTGAAAAATGAACGGATTATTAGAATTTTTTTAATAAGTATTTTATTTTATGCTTTTTCTTTTCATTCGACTTATTTTCTGTAAATCAGACCATTTCTCCTTATACAAGGAAAATTCAACATTTGAAACATTAGTTTTACAAATAAAACTTATAATAAATTTTATCTATTATGTGCAAATGGCCGCTATAGTTAAATAACATGCTACTTTAGTATTTAAATTTTTTCTTTATATTTTATTTTAATTTTTCAACTTTAAAATATTATATAATAAAGAAAATTATTGGCCGATAGCAAAAATAGACCCGTATTTCAAAAGTTACAACCATTTTAAAATATATAGTAGAGATGAAAAATGGATGCGTTGTTATACTTTTTATTATTTAAAAAAATCCATGCACAGAAGGGTCACAGCACAGCGGGGATAAGTATAGATGACATACACAACAATATACTAAAATACTTAACATTAGCTTTAATTCAACATATACTTATAACTCTGGGTATTTCAGGAATATTTCCTGAAGTTAACTTGTCATGCAAAAGCAATGATCTTGAAATCCCACTGGGCAGGTTACAGGTTAGAATTTCAATAAATATATACATTAAGAAATAGAATTACCTAAAGTATTAAAAAAAATAACAATAATTTGATTAGATTTGTTCATTGTTAAAGAAATTATGACAGTAATAAGTAAAATTTTTTAAAAATGTCAAAATTTATTGATTTTAAAAATTTTTATAATTTACAAAACACGAGAAAAAAAATTTCAATTTTTAAATCTAATGCCTTCAAATAGATACAATTTGTGAGTTTTTGTCTTATCATTAAAAGAAATCAGTCTGGCAAGAGTTGAGAACAAGTGGCTACATACACAAAAAAAATAATAAACACATCATGGTAAAATTAATACTTTTTCAGCTTTGCATAAACGTTAAAACAACAATACAAAATATTCAGTAAATCAAAAATTATTAGATTTTTCAAAATATTGAGACTACCTATATATTTTGCGTATTATTATTAATATTGGTTTTTTAAACACTTTTGAGGTCAATTTTAAAAGATATAAATATGTTTAAAATAATTTTAAAAAGATGGAGATAATTATTTACCCCTATTACTAATTAAAACATTTTTTATCATATGACCAATCTCACTTATATGAGAACAAAAATAAAACATTTTTACTTACTATTATAAGCTCGATTTAAGCCATCAAATAACATGAGCATTGAAGGCACTATTTGAGTAACATGCTCATTTACAGCAACAGGACGATTAGGAGTTAATGCCATTAAAGTAAGTAATCCCATTACGCAGAGTTTTCGATCATGAATTCTATTAAAAAAGAATCATCATAACATCCAATAAGAAATGATAAATAATAGACATTTACTTACCCAAAAAAACAATCAGTGTCTTGTAACCATTGTCTAATAAAATGTACAGAAATAGATTCATTTGTAGACATAGTCATTTGTAACTTATCAAGAGTTTCAAACAATAACTGAGGATTGTAATAGATAGCTGCAACTATTATTTGAAGACACATAGCTCTTAACTCAGATGATTTTATTTCCCTAACTAACCTTTGTAGAGCTACTTCCACAATAGGAGGAATACACTAAACAAAAAATGTGTCAGTTATAATAATCCAGCATAATTTACTAATTTTAATATTAGTTTATATAGTCAAATTAGCAAACACACATTATCGATAAATTATAAGATATTTAAAAAAATTATATATGTATATAAAGTAATATATGGAAATTGTACGGATAAAAAGATAGTCCATTTGGTTTTTTTCATATTTCTATAGATATTCAAAATCATAACAAATTAAAAAGTTAAGCAGTGTTTCCTAAAATGGGTAGTATCACCCTCTAAGGAGCAATGAAAATGTTTTTCATATTACAACAAGAAATTAATTTTTTTTTTTTGAGAAGGGAGGGAGAACTATTTTATTAATAAAGAAATTTTTTTTTTTTTTAATGGGTCGATAACTTTAAAACAAGTAATTATTGAATTACAAGCATGTTAATACATATGTGAATGAGTAAAGTGAATGGTATGTAGAGCAAGGTAAGTACAGCTATCATTTATATTAATAAGTTATAAATATACACTAAATTATAAATTTAAAATTATAATGAAATGTTAATTGTATCAATAGTTATATGAGTTATCAGTTAGATCTGTTCCATTCAGTATAATCCTGTCATACTAATATTGTAGAGATGCTTGAACCAGATAATTTTTCTATTTACAAAAATATATATTTATATAATATATATATATATATATTTAAAATTATATATTTTTTTGTGGGTAAAATTCTACTTGTATAAAATAAAAGGTGTCATTTAGCAGATATTTAGTCAAAATATTCCAAGATAAAATATTGTGTATTTTATTGTATGTATAAACTAATAGATCTAAATTTAGAATAATTAGTTGCAAGTCTGAATTATTATGAATTGTGTGTAGTGTTATGTAACACAAAAATGTTAGTATGCACTACGTATATAATAAAAATTGATCAATTGCGACTTATATTATTTAAAAATAAAACTACATTAAAAATATTAACTGAAAGATAAAAAATATTAAAAATATTTAACTCAAAAAGCCACAAAGAAATTTACTAAAAAATCACAGGTACATATTTCTTCGGGCACAATGTTTATCATTATCAATGCTAAACACACACATGAAATACATATTTGCAATTTTTTGTGGCTTTTTGAGTTAAATATTTTTATTATAGTTTTAACTTTAAATATGCACTTCTTATTTAAAAAGCTTAAAATTACATGGACACTTCTAGTGACTCATTGAATTTGTGTAAAAATATTAGTTGAACTCGGATTGTTGTGAACTGTGTTTTTATCATGGAGTTAAAAGTTTGATTAAAACAACAATTAATAACCTTCTACCCTACGATTTTCTATAAGAAAAATTACAGTCCACTCTGTATAAATTATAGTTAGTAACTGAGTTTTGCATCAAAAACCTTATTTAGCCACATTTTGTTTAAACAAATTATATCATAGTTTACATTTAATAAAATACTATGTAAAACTGGAATTTTAGTTAAAAGATCATGAATATTTTGGTAAAAAACATAAATTATAAACAATTTTGATCACGGGTGGGTATTAGCTGAAAAATTATTCTTAAAGGTTATTACTGGTATACCTCTCACATATTTAATAACTAAATCGATTTCTCTGTTATTTCTACTAGACTCCAAATGATCACAAAGTTTTTTCATATGATTTTTTTTATGTATTCTATGGTCTGAACTGATACAAATGACATAAGGCGGTTGCAAAGATAATAATTTTAAGATATCAAACACATCAGCTAACGAAACAAATATTGCTTTTTAATAAGACTGGTTTAATTATGATTTTGATTACCTAATCGCATAACTTTTAATGATTTAATGCTGTTATTTCCACTAGAACTAACAGAAATCTATTACACCAAGGGTGGATTGGCTGCAGGAGAGTATATTGTATTGTCCCCTGGACTGTTATCTATAGTGATAAGAGCTAAGATTAGTGTGATTTGGGGTTTCCAAAATTTACTCTTGACCTTTTTTTTAACAATTTCTTTTTATTAAACAATAGAAATATTTTTTGAAGTCAGTTAGGCCACTATAATTATTCTGCTATTTTTGTACTCCAATAAATTTTCCTGACATTTAAGATTCCATGATTTTCCTTGTTTTCCAAATTTGTGGCAAGCTTGTTTTAGAAACTCAAGATATATTTTTTTTCTGAAAATGATGATCCCAGTTTTTTTTATTTCTCTTCATTAATATCTAGATGTCGAATGTCATAACACAATTTAAACTTATCAAATTATCCTATGCTTGTTCTTTAGTTTGCATGACTATCTAGCTTATTATTAATATTACTTGCTTTGGTCATTATATTATAATGATATTATTATAATAAGACCTGAAAGTGGAAATTCTTGTAATATAATTCATAAATTTTCTCTCGACATCGTAAATCTGAGCAATACTACTAGCAGTTTCACATCATTTCAAACATTTAATTATTTTGAGTTTTTGGTTAAAACCTAAAATTAACCAACCCATTTCCGCTTTTCAACTATTTTAGAAACACAATAAACATATTGGATTTCCAACTCAATTTTTAATCATTTTATACATATTAGCCATATTGCTTATACCACAACAAGTTAGCTGGGTTTGTTGTGCTCACGTATATATTTTGAAAATAATGGATAACAGACACTAACAGTTAAGCAAAGTTCCACTGCAGCAAATTTTTTAAAAGCTCTAGCCAATTTATTAAGAAAAAAATCATATAATTTGTTTTAAAATATTTTTTAGACTTCGCTAATTGTTAATTTGTATAATCCAGTATTGCTAATTTTTACTGATTATTAATAATGAAACCTCTCAGGCAAATTATTGACTTTTTAATTTATTTATTATTATTTTTTTGAATCACATATTTAGTAGAAAAACTAAGAAACAAAAAAAAAAACTTAAAAAGTTTTAATACTGTTGTTTTCAAATTCATAAATATTTGGAAAAATATTTTCGCAGTATCTATTATGATAAAAATCAATATTACTAGATAATTAAAATAATATTTTTTAGATATTATGAATTTTTTTTTTTTAATGACACATAAACAATAAAAATTTGTTAATTTGTAACTAAAGAAACATCTTTCAGAAATTCCTCTAAATGGTCCAATAACCAAAAATCATTATTTTCTATTATATTTAAATCACGAAGTTCACAGATACTCATTTTTAACAAAAATAATTCCTTAATGGAAATCAAAAAAATATTTATACTACATTTATCATAGTTGTTTTTAATCAAAAAATAAATCTTGAAATTAAAGAATCGGTTCAGTTAGAACATTAATCAATGAGAACTCAGCCAATTGTTTTTCAACCTAATGCTACTTTACAACACATGGCAATGTTATATATGCTACTTTATGATAATCAAAATAAAAATATTACCTGTATTAAAAACTTAAAAATTTAATGGAATTTTCTAGACTATTTCTAGAATTTAAAAGCCATGTTAAATAAAAAAATCAAATTTCATTTTTTTTTCCCATTTATTGCTCTGTAACTCAAGTTGTCTACATAAGTACAACATTTTTATTTAATAGAAAATTTTATAAAGCATTTATAACAGAAACTTTAATTTAGATTGTAGAAATTTTCATTTTTATATTAAAATTTAATATACAACTTTTAACAGGGTATTACTTTTGGTTGTATAGTTTTCTCCTAAAACTATGATTCTTTAGTTAAATAAATATATTTCATTGTGTTTGCATGTTAAAAACTATAAGTTAGATCCCATAAATAAATAAAAAATCAATAGTATACTTAAGAGGTTTCATTTTCAATAATTACAAAAAAATCACCTTCTGGATTATACAAATTTAATTTTAAGGTGGTATTATGTAAAGATGCTATTAAAAAATTAGATATCAATATTTTTTTAATCATCCTACTGTTTATGTATACAATTAAAACAAGCAAATACCTGATCTATTCGTCCTTTACATTGCAAAACAATTACTTCTAATAATTTTGCTGCATGACATTCAGCTTCTTCACCAGATTCTGATGTTAGAACCTATGCATAATTATCAGTCAACACAAATATAACAATTTTTTTAATAATCTAAAGTACTTACAACTTTGCACATATTAAATATAATCAGCATATAATGTTCATTACTAACAAATGTTTCCATACCAATAGTAACATAATTATGTAAGCAGGGCATCATATCAACAAAATAATCAAAACCATCATTTTGAAAGACCTAAAAACAATACAAAAAATATCTAAAAATGTAATCTAATTCTTTTTCCTCGTCTTAATCTCAACTACTTGGGGTCGGCTACCCTTATTTAAATTTTCACTTGACAGAACTTCAAAAATAGTATGTCAATAATTGACACAGTATTTTAACTCAAAGTTTACATGCCATATATTTACTTTTCTTATAAGTACAAAAAATTTTATAGAAAAAAAAAAACTATTTAACAGAACTTTAGTCTCATACTAGTACTACAGAATATAATTTAAAATAGCATATAGGATTTTAGACCCATGTAATACACCCCTTAAAACTTCCTCATGAGATGTTGAAATGATGTAAAGCTATCTTTACATTATTTTAAAATCTTATGAAGGAACTTGGGTTCGCACTACTTGTCTATTTACTAAATGTATTCTACATGTCTATTACTTAATGTAAATAAATAAATAAATAAATATTCATTTATTATTTATTTACTTGAAAACTACATAAACATAAAACTACATAAGGTTCTGAATTTTAAGCACTAAAAACATATGGAAATATGTGCATTAAAATCCAACAAAATTCAGTGAAATATGCACTAAAAATTGGTGTAATATGCAAAATTTGAATAATACTAAAAGGAAAAAATTTTGGATGAGCTACAAAGATGTAATTAAAATGTTTTAAAACCCTAATTTACGTGATTAACTGCTAAAAAACATTATGAATAATATACCTATTTTTCTATAGAAATAAAAGGAGAAATTAAATTACACCACCCTAACATTTTGTTAAAATTGTATCAATGGAGAGTTTTATTTACTTACTCCCTTAAAAATGTTTTATAAATGAAAAGTATAGTTTATTTATTTTAGTAGGGGCTTAATCTTCCCTGCTCATCCTTTTTTGGCTAAAAAAAAAAATATATATATATCTAAATTTTAAAATAAAATATATTTATATACTACTTAGAATTTTAGTTAAAATTTTTTAGAAAAAAATAGTTATACCTCAAATTCACTAAAGCTTCAAAGAGAATGATTTTAATACATTATTTAAAATGTACAGGAGTTTTTTAAAAAATAAAAAGTAACATTGCAACTCAATAAAAACATTAACATTATAATTTTAGAAAACATAGAATGGGATCTATTGTGATTTGTAGACATGTAACCAAATAGCTTTATACTAAATGTGAAATGACTAACTTTAGTCATTTATAGCATTCATGTTAATATACCCTTAAACATTTAATTATAATTATGCTATTATTTAGCACATTTATATTATTATGTAAGCCAGAAAATTATCATATGCTGGATTACTGAAAATCAACTGTATTAATCTACAAATTTTTTTTTTAATGCATAATTTAAAATTTTTTGTAAATAAATGCATGCCTAAAAACTGAAAATATTTGGATGTTCATTACTGTGTTTTTAATGTATAAACATATATGGTCTATCTATACATTTTGAATACCACTATTTATAATTGTCTTTAGGGAAGAGAATAATTATACACATAATACAAATCTTAATACATTTTAACATATATTACTTACTCCATAGATTAATTCCAGCACTTTCCACATGTTTGGCGACAATTGTGTATTGGTCAAGTCACTGACCAAATTAAAAGCTTCTTCATAATATTCTAAATAATATATTAAATTATAAAAATCGAAACATTTTTTCATGAAATATTTTACAAAATATGATTACCAGGTTCTGGAGTGGTAAATATGTGTACAATAACTTCTAAAACAATTGGTTCAAGAGCAGCTAATGTATGGCTTTGTTCATCATTTACACTCAGAATAGTCTCAATACAACTTAAAATACTCATACCAGTTATTTCTTTTTTATCATTCATATCATCAGACTTGAGAACTTGAAGTAAAGTTTTAACCTGAAAAATAAAATATACTTCCTCTAATTATGTCCAGGCCTGTTCCAATTAGATTTTCAAACTGTGCAAAAAACTAAGACAGCAGAAAATAAAGAGTGGCATTTAGATGTAAATAAACTTTTAATTTCTGAAAATGTGTGATAAGAAAAAAATCCGACCCAAAATTGTCTAATATAATTTTGTTTAGATAAGACATTTTACTATCAGTCCCAAATACAAAAAAGTAAAATAGTCTTAGTAAACACAAAACAGATCACATTTTATTCATCTCAATTTTGTTAGCCATACTGGTATAATTTTTATCATTAAAAAAAATTATGTGAAAAATTAATATTTGAGATAATTTAAAATGTTGAGAAAGAAAAAAATATAAAAAAGAATGATTTACTAAACCTGATTCATTGGGGTATATTGTTAAAACAATATAATAATTAATATATAACAATACAAACCAAATTCTGACATATTTCCATCATTATTGGTCCTAATTTGTCAGAATATATAGCAATGGTCTTTTGTATAACACCAGTTATGTCATCATTTTCAGTTTCTTTCAAGACATTCAATAGCTCTAACACAATTTCTTTAATCTAAAAAAAAAAAAAAAATTATATTTAATTGTCAAAATTAAAATTTAAAATACAACTTTTGGTTCTAAAAGAGGTTCAACTTTATCTTCAGCAATTAATAATGCTTGAATAGCTAAACCTGCTTGAACTTTAACAGGCAGTTCTTTATCAGTTAATAGAGCATTTGTGCAAAGTGCTGATAAATCTGTCCATATATTATCGTTATTGATTTTAACATCACATACATGTTGAATAAACCAGCAAGCCTGATTATAATATATCATATTAATAATTTTATAAAAAATTAATTTGTAAAATATTAAAAGAAGTTAAATATACTCTGGCTCTTAAATGTCCATGAGGACTTTGAAAAACTGGGAAAACATGTTGATACAACATACTGCTCACTTGATCTTTGTACATATCTTTTTTAAATATAACATCTGCTAAAGCACCAAGCTATAGAAAAATAATTGGAATTAAAAAATGACCATCATCAAAAAATATTGATTGTAAAAGAACACCATATCATCATTATAATTGTATTTGCATACCATAATTAAAAATACAAAACATGATGTATAATAATGTAGTGCAACAATTACAACTTAATTAATATTTTTTTTACCATGTGAAGTGCTCCATCTTTCTGGGAAGGTAGTGCATCATTTGAAGTTATTACACCAACAATAAATTGAACAGCTTTTGGTAAAATATCTTTTCTTTTTTTGCAAGCAGAATGCAATGTTGATTGAGCAGCCATGACTGGTGATATAAGGTCTTCAAAAATGTCTGATAAAAACATTATTTTTTTAAGAATAATACATATTTTGTATTGATTAATTTTAAGATATTTTTACCAAATTTTTGTGAAATATATTCATGTGGATCTGATTCCCATAATTCTTGATCTGCATCAGAATGGCACATGAGAGGAAATATAATATCTTGAATGATAGCAGCTAAATGTGGTTTAATAATTTTCCAAGTGTGAGCAATACTAATACTAAATATTCATAAAATAGATTAGAATATATTATAATTTCATATAATATAAAAATTACCATTGATTTAAATAATTTAGAGACATTTGCATAACTCTAGGTGGAACATAAATTTTATTACGATATTGATCTAGAATTCTTAATACTATTTCAATAATTCCAGTAGAAAAAGTTTTTACATAAAAAGTTGCAAATAACCTATATTCTTTAGCTACACTTCCAGGACTTCCATATCTAGAATGAAACAATATTTCATAAAAATTTGAAAACTTTTAAATTTTATAATAATAATAATAATGTTAAAAACCTAGCAGCACAGTGGGGTCAGTCAAGGCATAGTTGAAACATGTATTGATGACAGTGATTGAAATCATGTTTTATACAACAAGAACTCCAATTTTAAAATAATTATAATTTCCAAAATAATGTATCAAAATATATTACTGATCAGTCATTTTCTTAATTAGATCTTTAATTTTTTTTAAGGTAGATAAATAAGTATGTTGCCATTAAAAAAATAATATTGGCACCCTTATAAGGTGTATAAAATTATTATAGATAAATCAAGTAAAGTAGTTGTATATTTTGTTATCTCGATAGTAAACATGTATCAAAATCGTAACTATAGATTTATAAAATAAAAATACAAGGAAAACAGATCAATAACTTATGTCGTTCAAAAATAAAATACTGAGGATGATCTTTAGTATATGAAAACAGACAGGGATGTTGGGCAAATAAGTTTTAAGAATAATTAACTTTGTAAAAGTAGAGAATCAAATGGTTTTGAATGTGATGAGAAAGTCAGACTCAGAGTACTTTAAAGGGGTGGTTAAGTGGAAACTCACAAGGAAGAGACCTAGAAGACATTCAAAAAGCGATTGTAAGATCAAATACAACAGGACATAGAGAAACCAGAGATACCAAACTGAGAAAAAAATGTGCAAAATTAAGAAGAGTGGAAGGAGGTATCAATAGTAGCAAAAACTCTTTAAGAGTTCTGATACCAGAAAGAAAAGAGAGAAAGAAAAAAGAATAGGGAGTTAACTCTCTCAACTCGATTAAATATCAAACAAATCAGCTTAAGTATTTAAAAAAGAAAACACAGAAAGAACTCATGGTTTAATAAACAGTAGAGGGAAGCCATAGAAAGATTTGCAGAAGCAAGATTAAAAATGATAAGACCTATCTCCTGATAATATAGAAGAATTTGTTAAGTACAAAAAAGTAACGAGCAAAATAATAAAACAGGAAAAAAGAGGGGCCATAAAAGGATTCATTAAAAAATAGAAGAACTATAGAAGAAAATAGGCTTAAACCAAGATTATTCTTTATAAAATGTAGGTCAATAAAGGAAATTTTTAAAGCTCAAACTCGAATGGTTGAACTGGAATGATAATGAATGAACAAGGCATCATCCAAAAGTTTCAAGCACATTTTGAAAATATCTTAAATGTGGATCAAGAAGATTGGGAGGAAAGTGAAAGTGTGATCTATTACATACTAAAAACTCTTCTCGAGGAATCAAACCGCAAGGAGGTAGAAGATAACATCAATAATAAAGATAGGTACTTAATAACATGTGACCAAAATGCACTAAAAGAAATATGGAAACCAACCGAATACCTGATGATTGGAAAACAATTATTATCTGTTCCAAATACAAAAAGACTGATCCTATGGATACAAGCAATTAGCGGATATTCGCACTTATAGACTCTGGCTACAAAATCCTATCCCTGTCATTATTACAAAGATTGGAGGTATACTTGAGAGATATAATAAGAGACCCTAGAAGAATTTGGAATTCCCAAAAAACTTATAGATCTCATAAAAGTGTGCAATACACATACAGTGTGCATAGGGAAATTTGGTAACAGTACATCAAAGAGTTTTGAAGTTAAAACTAGACTTAAACAGGGTTATGTGTTATCACCAGTCCTTTTCAATGTAGCGCTTAAGAAGGTGACCAGGACAATGCCAGTGTGACAAAGCATGAAGATTTTGTCCAATAGTATGCTCCTTGCCTACACAGATGACATAGTTATAATAGGCAACATGCGACAAAAACTAATGATTTGATAAAAGCGGCGAAGCCAATGGGCCTAGAAGTAAATCAGGACAAAACCATATATTTATTCATGACTTGAGGAAAAAGAGATAACTTCAGTAGAAAACTATACCTTTCAACAAGTCGAAGATTTCAAATATCTTAGGGCAAACATAAAACACAATAACATTTATAGTGAAATTAAACTGAGAATATCTGCCGCTAACAAGGATTAAGCTTTGAAAAATTTTCAAGTCAAAACTTCTCTTTAGATATCCAAAGGAATACTTATACTCAAGTTTCCTACGGCCAGTCTTAACATACGCAAATGAAACATGGCTGACTACTTAAGGAGATGAGAAAAAATGGCTTGTTTTGAAAAATTAAGGTTAAATAGACAACAAGTAAATCAAAATAAATTATTGTTTTAAACCAATGATATATAACATAAGCTTTACTTGAACATATTTTTAAAGTTTGAAGAGTATAACTGATATATTTTCAATAGTCAAGTTGAAAATGTTAATTTTTATCAAAAGTGGCTATTTTAAAATCCTCCCCATAGGTAGGTAGTCAAATTAAAAAAAAATACATCTGTTCAAAAGTTTTTTTATACATTGTTTTTTATTCATCCATTTTTAAAAAAGTATTGTAGTTTAAAAATATCAAAACTTATCAACTTTTAGACATTTCCCATATATGGGGATTTTTTTTTTTCAATTTTTGAAGATAATGTCATCAACTAGATATAATTTGTTTTTTTTATGTATCATTTAGTAAATTTGGTTAGTGAGATTTGAGAATAAGTGTTGAAATACAAAAAAGAAAAATAATTATATCATAGTAAAATTAGTATGTTTTCAGTTTCGCAATGAAGATAAAATCTCAATTAATAATAAAAAATGGTAGAAGTTATTCTAATACAGAGTGATTGATATATCATTGACCACATCAATTCAATTTAAACAATAAATTATTTTGAAAAAAATTTTCCTTTTGTTTAACATTATTATTATTTTTTTTTGTTATTAAAATAAAAGGTGCAGCAAAAAAAGGCATTGGCCGTGATTACATGCATATCACAATAAAATAGATATTTAAATAATAAGATTAGGTTAACAATGAGAGTGAATAAAAGTTGGTCACTAGCACATAAGTTATACAGATAGTTTAGCATTATTTATTTTAAGTTTTTGGTAAAAGAAAATTTCTTTTTAATATTTTACCCTATTCTAATTTTTGTTCAAATTTCATGTTAATTTTAAAAAATTTATTTTAACTTTCTAAATTTTAAATCATCATCATCATCTCTTTAGTTTCTATTTCAACAACATGGGATCAGCCTTTATCTTATTAATATGACAGGATTTAAACACCAGCTATTGACCTGATGGAATCTCATTATGACTGAGAGAATTAGTAGAGAAGCAATGTGTGCATTACTGTTAAAGTTCCAATATGATCAGCCATTTAGAACTAACAGCAAATAGTGCATCTGAACATTAGTGCTATGGCATCGACTGAATGATCCACCGTGCCATACCACAACCAATAATAAATATAAAATATATTTAACTATTAATTCAAAATATATTATTTTTTAAAACATAAAAATTATATAATAATAATATTCATATCCAAAAATATTTTACTATTGTTATAGTAATAATATATGTACAGACATATAATTTATTTATATACAAATAGCATACTCTTATCGACTTTAAATTAATTTTAACATTGTAATACTAGTTTAAAAAACCAGCAGGGGGGTGGGGTCGCGGCATAGTGGTGACGTAGTATAGTTGGATAAAGTATAATAATATCTAACAGTGATTTTAAAAAATTGGTGGATAATTACAAAAGCTACATGATCTACTATTTCCTTATTTATATCCTGATTAAGATAAAGTATGTCGAATGAAAAAGGGATTATTAAAAAATATTATTTCTCATAAAAAAATTATGTCGATCCATACACTTTTCAATATATTATAGCATTATAAAGTTAAAAATGTAAAAAATAAAATCGAGAATTTTCACACAATAATAGCATTTGGTAGCCATTTTCACCATGAAGACAAAATAAAGTCCCAAATTTTTTTTTTTCATAATGAAGTACATTACATTAGCTTTAATTTGAGATATATATAAAAGTGTCAGACTTTCCAGAACACTCAAAAATTAAGTTGAAAAAGTAAATTTTTTATGAAAAAGTTGTCATTTTAAATCCCCCCTGTGGGCAAGTAAAGGGTCAGATTTATAACAAAAATATACCAAATGATAGGTAAAGATATCAAGCATCAATATAAAAAAAAATTATATTAATTTGTTCAATTTTGAAAAAGTTATGGCAATTTTAAGTAAAAGAATTGAAAAAATTAGTGATTTTTTAATTTGTAATATTTTTGGAAATTTCTTTCATTTATGGGGAACGAGGGAAATTTGTTCAATTTTTTTGGGTAATGTCTTCAATGAGATACGATTTGTGATCTTTTGACATATCATTGAGAGAAATCGATTTGGTGAGAGCTGAGAAAAAGTAGTAACAGACACAAAAAAAAACACATCATAGTAAAATCAAATTCTCAGCTTCGTATTGAAGCTAAAAAAGGTTCTTATAATATTAAAAAAATTTAAATAAGACTAAATTATCTGTAGTATAAAAAAATACCTTTCAAAAATTCTATATAATGTATGTAAAGCCCATTTTTTTACTTTCCACCAAGGTAATTGTTCTCGTTCACTTATTTCATATCTATTCACCTCTTCAGGCACAGGATTACATAATACAACACTCATAATTTCCATCCACTTGGTAAATGTAGTTCTTTCCATTAAATCAGAACTAAGTGTAAACTGAAAATAAATATTTAATTTGAATATGTAACTTTTAATTAATTTAATATTGGGTGTCCCATAATGTGCACAATTTTTAATTAAGTAATACTTTTTAAATATTATTTTGCATCAACATTTTTATCATTTTTAATATTTACTACCTCTCTAATTTGATATTAGGAGTTATTTTTTGGAAAATTAATTTATAATTATGGAGCAGTTGACAAACAATAAACAAATTCTTAAGACAATATACACTCAAAATGTTGAAAATATAGAGAAGCCAAAAAAAGTAATTTTTAATGAAATTGCATACTGTTAACAGCAAATAATGTAATGAGTGTTTACTTCTGTACTTTATATAATATGGACTAACATTTGATACCGTAGGAAAATTGTAAAAAAAAAAATCAAAATTTAACAAATTTCAAAATAAATGCTGCATAAATGTAATTACTGAATTAAAATAAGAGTTTTTGGTATCAACATTTTTATTAAAAATTATCTATAAAATGGCTATCTGCAAATCTTAAAAAAAAATTAATTTTTAAAATATTTTTTGTAATTACAGAAAATAACATAAAACATATTTTAAACATAGTTCTATATTATAAAAATGTATTAAAAAAAAAAGAAATTATAAAACGTAATGTAGATTATGAGTTATATGAGTGGTCAATTAAATCGGTTTCATACATACATACACACACACACACACACACACATATATATATATAATATAAAGGAACTGACAAATATTTGTCACATATCAACTCAGTTACAGGAGAAAATCACATACAGTGGATGTAATTTTTTTAAATAATAAACTGGAAATTTTATTGAATGTTAACTTAAAATGTTTACTTTTAATTTCATTATTTAAAAATTGTGGACTATATGAGTTACCCTATAATTATAGATAAACTTTAATTCAAAAATTTACTTGAATAAGTTTAAAATAACTTTTAACAATCATTTTTTGAAGAGTTACAGATTCAGCAGCAGAATTAGTAACTATATGGGCCATAACATTATAAACACTTGGGAGCAAAACTTTAACAGCTCCATGAATAGGTGATTTATCTGCTTTTTGGTATTCGAAAGCTTTCACTAAAGATGAAAAACCAACTAACCCTGCCATCCAATATGAAGTGTTATCACTTTTTAAACAGACAGCAATTTTATCAACCACAGTAGGCCAATGCCCAGGAAAATCATGTTTCAACATAGTCACTAAGCACACAGTTAACTGAGCTCTAAAAAGTAACTTCAAATATAACAAACACCTTAATAAGAAAAAAAATACCATATTTTACCGTAATAATTCAGGTACTTGGATAATAACATCCAAAATTGTATCTCTAATCATTTGCCTATCTTGCTCATGAACAGTAAACTTATTAGGTTCATCTTCACGACCTGCCCAACTTTGATAAACTAAATTTTTGAGGTAAATTGCACCTGATGATAATTTATTATTTATACATAATTAATAATTTAAAAAAGAATTTTTAAAAAATTATGATTCTTTATTCTGTTCTTTAAAATCACTTAATTGACATCATTTCAGAGCTTATTATTTCAATAGAAATCTTTATCAAAAGTATAAGAACACCTGGTTAATACATATACAGTGTTCAGTAAATAAGGAAACAGGTGAATTGTTATAAATAATAAGTACAATAGAAACTCGTTTCCTTACTTACTGAACATACTATATACAAAGTGTCTGAACTTATTCTGACATGTTTAATAGCTTTTAATCTAGCAAAAATTATGTGTTACTTTTTTTTTTTTTTTTAAATATTTTTACAATTTTGGACTATGTGAAAAGCATACTTTTTCTTAATAAATAATAAAAAACGTTCTGTTAACGTAGTCCAAACTGTAAAAATTATTTAAATAAAAATTAAAAAAAATTATTTTTTGGGCCATAAGTTATTAAAGATGTTAAAACATAACGGGACTTGGTATTTAAGTTAATCAGGTATTCTTATACTTCATAATGACTAGACATTTTACTACAAATTTGTTTACATAATGAGGATGATTAATAAAAAATTATTATTATTAAGATGATCTTCAATAATTAAATATATAATTGTAAAATATTATCAACTTACTCGCTTGTCTGGTAGACATTTCAACATCTGATGCAAGAACAATTTGTAATAAAGCAGGACCAAATCCTGCTATTTTATGTATCTAATTACAAAAAAAGTATTACATTTGTAATTTAATAATAAGTAATATGCAATTCATTTAATAATTAAATTCAATAATATTGTTAATAATATTTGTTCAATATTATGAAATTTTTTTCAAGAATAGTTAACACAAAAACTGAAAAAGAACCTAATATTGAAGTAAAAACTTTTGCATATTAAAATTCAATAATTTAACTCATCAAAATAATGTAATAATGATAACAGTAATAATAAGTATAAAAGTTGATTTCCCACAAACTAATGTGTACTGTAATAAAAGATGGTACACATTTTTTCATATAAATGAAATATAAAATAATAAAGGTATATTATTTTATCAAAAATAAAGGCATGATTAAAAAATCAAAAAATTTAAATTTTAACTCTTATCTTATTGTATCATTTTGGATATTTTAAAATTGTTAGATATTGATATTTTTATTCTAATTAACTTTTAAACTAAAAATATTGTATCAAATTATAAAATCATGTGCTTACTCGCTGAAGTTGTTCTTCAGCTTCGCTTCTATGTGGTTGATAAAGTGTAGCATTCAGCAGGGCAGTAAGTTTTTCAATATCCATTATGGTTAGTTGCACGTACAACAATCCAAAATATTGACTAGTACCAGAGCGCACAGATGAAGTTTAAAGTTACTTGAAATCAGTCACGTGATGACAAAAATCACATTCCATTTTCCGATTAACCCGACAACCGCCATAATGAATATCGTATTGTTTATTTTTTATCAGCAGTGCTTCCTAAAAAAAAGTGATATCTACTACCAATAAATTTTGGGAGAATTGAGAATTTTTATTTTTCAAATATAAATGCACTGTTTGAAGGTGATCATTTCAGCATTTTCATCTGTCCGTAAAATCATTGCTTGAGAACATACTTGATTGTGTTTTACATTTTTGTTAATTGATTTTTTAAAATTTTTACGGAGTGTTAACCATCTAATTGAAAGATATACTTTTGATTAAAAAAAAAACAAATAAATAGCTTAACAAACAAAAATGAGTTACTGGAGAGCAGCCGGACTAAAGTAATATTATTGAATTTATTACTTATATAAATATATTTGAATAACCTAGAATATTGATAAAATAAATTTAGTTAAGAAATATTGAAACCGAAGAATTTATTGTCCAACAATCATATATTCATATATATTTTTTAATTTTTATTATAATTGCATTACTTTTACTCTTTATTCACAAAACATTAATGTTTTATTAAATAATCTGTTTATAAACTTATTCATCCTACATTTCTTACGTTATTTTTGCCATCATACATATATAAAAACATCTTATTAGTGTTTAGAATCTTTTTTTTCTAAGTATATATTTTTCTGAATTTATCAATAAAAAGATTGCCATGTTCATCTCTTATACTCAGTAAATGTTAACTTTGTTTTTTCAAATGACAACATATATAGTTTATCAGATTATTGAATAAATAATGAACTAATTAAGAGAATAAATGGTTGATAGCAAGTTTTGAACTAGATCTTGGAAGTTATTTACCATTTTTATACTTTGGCAGAAGGGAGAGTAAGGCTGATAATGTGTAGTAATAAAAATAATAACACTATCATCTTATTTCCAGCCATCTCAATAAAATGTTATGGACTTCCAAAATCTTTATCGAATAATTCTTATTGACCAGTATTTTTCTTAATTAGATCATTATCTATTAAATGAGCTAGTTAATTATGTGGTTTTTATTTAAAAAATTATAGTTGACAACACTTATAAGGATTAAGGAATGAACATAAAAAAATTTTTATGATTCATGATAAGTGAATTACTTTGTATATATTTTATTATGAATAAACTAAAACAAAATACATAATATATATATATATGAATAAAAGAATAATAATTTATTTAATATTTCGAATTGATTTATTTTTAAACAAAAAAAATTATTTATTAATAATTCAATTTAGTTTAATTTGTTATGTACCCAAAAATATCAAAATTTTTTATTTAATGGAAAAGTAAAACTATTGAGATAAGACTTGTTTATAACTTAATCTAGTGTCTAAACATAGTAAAATTAATATAACTATATAAGTTCACACATTTAAAATTATTAAGGCTAAGTTGTGTGTATAATGATTTTAGCTATGTGAACTACTCTAACATAGCAGCTAAAGTTGTTAGAAGGGTATTAAAAAGTGATCTCCAAGCAAGTGCATGTAAACGCGATGAGTCACATGTTAAATTCACGCCATGGATCAAAGGAAAGCCAGCCAGTTAGTATTTAAGTTAATTTAAATAAATATTATACAGTAAAAATTAAAAATTTTCAGATGAAAAAGCATAATCTATTATAGACAATTTTTTAGTAAGTGGGGTTTTTTATAATTAAAATGATTGGTTTTATGCATGACTTATAACTATTTTTGCCTTAACTGTATCAAATCTTTCTTTACATATGAAACAAATATGTTTTCATTACATTTTATTTGTTATCAAAAAACTTTAAGAAAATATTTTTCATTCAAATCTTATATTTATTTTATCAATTATGTTAGTATTATACAAATTTTATTCTTCTTTTCCTTATCTTTACCCCAACTTTTTGGGGTCGGCCACCCTTATCTTAAACTTCCCCTTGACATAATCTTCCACGTCATCTACGCACACATCAGCCATCCTCACATTATACAATTTGATTAAAAATTTTAAATAAAATATAGTTTGTTAAAGCAAGTCCTACTTTATTTTTATTTATTAGAGAAATAGTTAATTATTAGTAATGATTCTTTAATCATTATAATATTTAAAAAGTTAAAAAATTTAATTCTATTTAAAGTAAAATTTTATATGTTGGCTTTAAGTTATATTTGCCTAAAATCTGAGACAACACTAGTTCTATCGTTTTAATATTTTCATAAATTAATAGTTTTGTTTTTCATTTTATATTAAATTATATTATTATATAATAGTCATTTAATTTACCTATGAATCCAATATATGTACACTATTTTTTTCCATAAAATTTTTTTATAAAAATATAAGCATGTTTAATACAATAATTCATAACTTTAAAAAAGTTTTTAAAAGTTTTGCTAATTATTTTAGTATATTGTTTTGTTATTTAATGGTAGTATTATTTTTAACTATAATCTGCTATGACTAATGTATTTTTGAATTTCTAAACCTGACTTGGTAGCAAATATAAGCATGGTAAAATATTTTTATCCTAAATAAACTATTTATAATGTTGGTTATGTTGTATATATATTTTAAATTATTATACTAGAATCATAGCTCACAAACATGCAATATAAAAGTTTCCAAAAAAATGGTAAAGTTGACCATTTTAAATAAAATAAATAAATGAATAATAAAGATTAATAATAAGAGTAGTCTTTGAGGGGTCCACAAGCTTAATAATCTTAGAAATCTTCAGCAAAGCCATTGCTTCTGATGCTCCTACAATTTTTGGTGTATTGTAAAGGAGTTTTCTAAAAAATAATAAGTTATATTTATTTATTAACATAAAAATAAATATTAGAATATTAATATATTTAATTTAATTTATTCAATACTCAAATGTAATGCACAAAAAACATAACAGTAATTTAGTAATGATAAAAAAAAAATAATATTGACAACATTTCTCATTACATTTACATAAAAAACTATTTGATTTTTTTTTTTTAATTATTAATGTCAAATTAAAATTAAAATAAACAGTTATTATATTATTTTAATCAAAAATTGTTTAATTAATCTAAAAAATAATGTAACAAAACATTTTCAACAATTATTATAGATTTATTACTCAACCTGTATGTCAATTTTTATTATAAAGTATAATTTTCATAATTATAAATACAAAATTATTAAAATTATTGAATTTGCAATAAACTTATGACTAAAAGTTAAATTAAATTTTCTTAAAAAAAAAAAAAAATGACTTGTAAAAACTTTGTTTATAATTGTATTGTAGTTAAATTAATTCTGTTCTAATTTTAATCAAGCTGTTTATAGGCCAAATTATTTTTAAATATTTAATGTTTGTATATATATATATATATATTTTTTTTTTTTTTCAGAAACCAGCCAATAATATATTATAATAAATGTGGTCAATAGTTTCTTTTTATTCTTTTGGTTTTTAGAATGTTCAATCACAAGTCAATGTACACATAATATAAAATATTTATAAAAAATATACATAATAACTGTAGTGATATAGCATATTTTTTATAAATTTAAGAAAATGACAAGTCAATAATAATTTTTTGAAACAAGTATTTAAGAAAATCTTACTATTTTCAATAATGTACTAAGTTGAAGATGTAGATTTTACTATTTTTATCATTGGACCTGTCTTTATCATACCTCTCCTCCCATCTAGGATATAAATATAAATAACTTCCAAAGTACAGGATTTTGGGAGATTGAGCCAGGTTTTTTATCACTAGTTCAAAGAGTTGTTGACCAGTAATTTTCTTAAATAAATTATAATATAATGAGTAAGCTAGTTAAATATCTATGTGTTGCCATTAAAAATAAGAAAAAAATATTTATAAAATACTGAATAATTTATAAATTGAGTATTAAAATTTAGTACTCTATATGTAATGATTTAGAACTCAAAATAGGTGATAATTTTGTCAATATCTTCAACTACATACGAATTGTAGTAATTTCATGTATCTTTGAAAAAAGTAGGTCAAGTTAGAGCAGAGAAAATAAATGATAGTCACAAAAAAATATCTTCTCAATTTTGCATCGAAGCTAAAACTTAAAATATAGTAATTTAATATGAATAAAAAATTTCTTTTCGCGAGTAGCGACTAAAATGATGGGATACTTGANTTTAATATGAATAAAAAATTTCTTTTCGCGAGTAGCGACTAAAATGACGGGATACTTGATCTTTATTGAAGTTATTGAATCTAAATGAGAGAAAAATCTAAGCAGTTGAAAATTTATTCTAACTTAAAAAGAATTAAGAAAAAATGCAATTTTTGAGGGTAATGTCTTAGACTATATACGATTTGGGATCTTTTGACGTATTGTTCATCAAAATCGGTCCAACGAGAGCTGAGATTGAGCGTTCACAGACACAAAAAAAAAAAGTAAAATTAATACCTTCTCAGCTAAAATGAGACGATAAAAACTTCGACATTATCGATAGTTTGATTATGCATCGAAAGTTATATTATATTTTGATTGTATTATTAGTAATAAGGCGCATCAATCGTATATTTTGCAACGTCAGGGTCACGTGGCTACAGAAACACTAAATTATTAAATTAATTATATTATTATTAATAATATTGTAAAATTTTAATTAAAATGTTTTATTAAATTAAAATTTATTTGCTACTATAGTTATTATACAATAATATACATTTTGCTTATTATTTTCTGATACAATGTCTCACATTTGACAAATGTTATTAATACTCGAATGATAATAATCATTCATTAAGTAACATAAAATTAATAGTTTTTAATATAAATGTACATTTTTAAAAAAGTTTTCTCTATTGTTAGAATATATATTTATCTTTGAGAATTTTATTTTTTAATTATCCAATAATTACAAAATATTTTCATCAAATCAAAAAACTGTTAGTNCCAATAATTAAAAAATATTTTCATCAAATCAAAAAACTGTTAGTTAACTGTTTTTTCAATTAATCCACAAAATTTTATCTAACCGTGACTTATTTTTTAATATCTAAGAGATCCATTTGAAAACTAATTTTTTTATAACAAATATGTGCTGTAAAAATTGTCATGTGCAATTTTATTAGTGATTAATACCTAAGTGTGTATTATTAAAAAATAATGACTAATATAAACATAAAATTGTTAATATTTGTACAATATAAAATTGGGTGTTCTATGTCCAATTTGATAATATGGATAAGTGTCTTGTGGAAGAGTTAAAATAATATCTTATTATTTGTTCGGATGCTGAACCCATAAACTGAAAATCCTTGAGGTCTATCCAATAATTTTGGATCTAGTGCAATAGGACCTCAAGGTTAAAAAAGAAATTTCATCTATGTGTTCCTCATCATTCTTGGGGATGACTGGATTTTTTCCTGTGCTGCATTAGGATATCTAAGTATAAAAAAATCACAGTATATCTAACTTCAATGGAGTAATTGTTAAATACACTTTTTTTAGTCTTATTACTTTCTGGAAATTTCTTCCAATAGGTTTGTGTTGACTCAGTGGATTATGATTAATTTTTCTTTCAGGAATTTTAATTGAAAATTAATTACTAAAATTATCTTTAACTTATATTAAAAAAACGGTAGCACAGTGGGTCGAGGCACAGTGTGGACGAGGCATAGATGGAACAAGTATAGATGATATCTGACAGTGATTAAAATCACTATCATAAGAAACGCTTCGATGCAAATCTGTAGATAGTGTTTCCTTTAGAGAAATTGGTGAAATATTTTAAAAGCAACATGAACTCTTATTTCTTTAATTATATCCTGATTAGTAGTTCTTTGATTTTAAAATATAATATATGAATAAATACTAATTATAGTTTTTAAATTTAGTATGAAATTGTGAGGCCAGCTATGATGTATGGTTAATAGTGTTGGGCGGTTGATAAGAAAGTAGAGCAGAGAATAAGTGTAGCAGAGATGAGAATGCTTAGTTGGATGAGTGGAGTGACTAGAGAAGATAGGATAAGGAACGAGCATATAAGAGGAAGTATAGGTGTTGCGTCAATCGTGGATAAGATGACAGAAAATAGACTTAGATTGTTTAGTCATGGTATGAGGAAAGAAGAATCGAAAGCTGTAAGAACAGTTATAGAAATGAATGTTGAAGGAAGAAGAGATAGAGGAAGACCAAAAAAGAGATGGAGGGATGCTATTGAATGCGATTTGAGGACAGCTGATGTGAGCGTAGAAGATGTGGGAGATCGTGTCAAGTGGAATCTTAGGATAAGGGTGCCCGACCCCAAGTAGTTGGGATTAAGGCAAAGAAAAAGAAAAATATTACCAGATATTCCGGTGGCAATTGACATAATATGATTGTTATTTCGGAATGTACAATTTAGCGTTTAGTTGGGTTTAAATAATATAGCGTCAAATCAATTACCTACTCTATCGGTTGTATCTCAATATACACTACACTTTAATGATACAATAAATAAATAAACTCACACATACACACATATGCATTTATAACATTGTGTCTAATGTAAGTATAACATGATAAAAAGTAACCGTAAAATGAAAAAAATGGAATATAAATTTTATTACTCATATTAAATGTAATGTAACTCGAAAAATATTTGTTTAAATGAAAAAATATAAGATTATATTTTTATTTATAATTGTCTTTTAAACAACTTTTGTGCGAAACTTTTTTTTGTAAGTTAAATATTTTTTTTTGAGAAAATTAAGAAAGCTCATATTTTTGAACTTTTGCGAGGATTTAAAAAAAAAGCTCAATTCCAATCTTGAGGACTATTAGTATGTCATTATACATATTTTAATTCAACTTTTAAAAAAACAAAATTTTTTCCGCAATTTTTCCTTTGTTGACAGGCCTAGATGTCAATTTTAAACTTGTAATTGAGCTAAAAGTTATGGTAATATATTCAATTTATTTTACTATAAACTTTCATAAATCTTTATCAAAAATTTTTCATCAACTTTAAAGAACCAAAAAAATAGGTTAAAATTGAAAATTTGGACTGATTATTTTTAACATATTAAAAATCAAATCAGTAATAATTTGAAAACAAATTTTTTTTTCTTTTAATTATTATTTTATATATATAATTAGTAATAATATAAAAAA